AAGCACTAGATTTGCTCTGCTTGCCATATTATGATTTGGGGAGTTTGGATTTGCACATGGTATTTGGTTACTTATAATAAGAGAAATCTTCCCACAAGCAGCTGTCTACAGTGTAGAAAGCTGTACTTCTGGTGGCTGTCTACAGGTCTTCACAGTTCACGAAGAGAAGCTGGCAATATTGAGGTGTAATTCAGACTATCCAAAAGCAAATATCTAAAACAGGCCAGATGAATCACCTCCCAGGAAAGTTCCTCTCCATTGAATATAAAGAGAGTTTACAGCAATTAGCTCAGGAACAGACATCTAAACTCTAGTTATCCAGAATAGCTGAAATGAATCCCACCGCTGGTGTCAGCAAACTGAAAACGGCTCATAATAAAACCCATTTTCTTTTCAACAGCTCAGCTATGATGGGAAAGTCTGGACTATCACTGATACACAAAAAATGAACATTAGTGGGGTCGAGGTCCCCCCTGCCTGGCTCTGAGAGGAGACCCTGCCTGCTGGACCTTGCGGGGGGGGGGGCTGGGGCTTTCAGCAGAGCAGGAGAAAGACTCATTACCTCACCAGATCATTAGACTGAATCTGTGATCAAAGGCAGTGAGTCATTTATGGGTACATTTTTGTTCTATAATATAACTAATTAATTGGCAGAATTTTTGAAAATAAAAGATGGCGAATTCCCTTCCCACTCTCCTGGCTGTCCCCACCACGTCAACACAGCGTTAGCCAGGACCCAGCCGCTATGCTGACACAGCTCCCCAATTTCCTTTCCCCTGCTCCATTTCCTTTTCAAATTGAAAACTATTAGGAGTCTTTAGGCAAATAATAGAAACCTAATGCAGGTGCCTGTTATAAATTGTTCACTAGTTACTTTTAACCTAATGTCTCCTCAAACATTACTTCGCAGAAGGCGGCAAGGGAAAGAAATGCCTCATGAACTCTGACAATCAGGGTGTCAGGGGTTAAGGTCATAATAATGTAGCCCATTTCTTCTTGTTTGCCAAATGGCCTGAATGCAGATTGGCTGAGATTGACCTGAGATTGGCTCCCCTCAGTAAGAACATGGGTCTTACCAAGAGCAGTCCTCGTCTAGGATCATACCCTGCTGTACACCTCAAAGCAGGGAAGGTGGCAGACAGCTGACGGTGCCAGGTTAGTGCTAGTTTAGGATTTTGATCCACCCAATGCTGTAGCTTTCCTAGGCACAACTTGATGATGCCACATGTCTGAGGTTAAATTAATCAATGTTTTAAATTAATCAATGTTTAGGAGGTAGCTTGACATTCGTAAATAGAAATCACTTGAGAAATTTGAAGCATTCTGCAGGCAAAATAAAACAGGAAGTAAACATTAATAACAAGAGTTAGTAATGGCTGGTTTTTATGCAAAATAGATAAATGTACAGAAGCGCCTATTAATTCTGAGTCACTGCAGCAAATATCTAGGCTCAAGGGTTCGAAATGCCTGAATGTTAATGTGATCAGTCAATGTTAAAATTTGCCTTCATCAACTAGGCATCACATGTCTTATTCTCAGAGATAAATTCCTCCTCTGTTCACTGGAAATAATACCAAGCGCTTTACAGGGGATGAAACCTCCAACTCTATGTATGTACAAAACAAGGCATGCAAGAGGATAATCTGTTAGCATATATGCTCCTGAACACATCGGGCAACTGTCAGGTTGTTGGAAGTATTTCTCATCATGCTGGGTGCCCACACATGCAGTGTTGAATGGTGCTGCATTGGTCACAGATCACTTTCCCCATTTGGCTCCCCAGTGAGGTGTAAATATTTCAAAGCTAATGCATAAGTCATGTACACCTGTGTTTCTGAGTGCCGTAGTAGCAAGACATAACTCTTGGGTATTTCTGAGCATGGAGGAACATGGATTATTTTCTGTCATTGCAAATGGAAAATACATGGAGACTTTTAATGTTTAACACTCAGATCGGTTCTGCAACTTCTTGGAGACCGTTGCCTCCAGCCCCAGGCAACATCTAAGTGATGTTCTGCAAACACGTACAGCTTGCCAGGACTGGCAGGGACCCCAGGCTGTGTCCACATGTGACTAACTACTGGGGCCCCGTATCACTGAAAGCCAACATATGGAGTTAATTCACCCAAAAATTAACACCCCAAGCACACTTGCTATTACTGTATGAGTGGACATTGTAATAGCAAACATCATGAGAGGCATTCATACTATTGCTGCATCAATAGGTGTTGGGTCCCTTTGTATTTAATTTCTTAATAAATCCAGGCCTCACAGAAAATCTGGGGTGCATTCATCATCTTACATACATGGTAGAAAAGAGAAAGAGTTAAGCTTATTTATGAATAAAATGTTTGAAATAATAAAAGGCATCACACTGTACACTGGTCTGACTGGGAGCTGTGAGTAAGGTATAGCTCCCGGAGAGCAGGATGGTTTCCCCAGATGGTTTGCTCTGTATTTGCAGAGCCTGGTGTTTTGACCACAAGGTGAAGGGGGAGATGGGGAGGCACATTAGGGGTATGCTAATGTAAGGGGAAGGAAGCAATTGGTCTCACTGCCCTGAGAAGGAGTATTGACGGAGGTCCTCAGGTGCAGGATCGCAGGTGGAGAGACTCATGGGTTTCTGAACAAGGGAATTGCCTCTTGCTGGTGTACTTCTGCTGCACTGAGGAAAATAAGACTCTCTGTACATTGCTGAATAAATAAAATAGAACCAAAACATAGCTGATTCTTATCATGAACCTTTCAACCAAGGAAAATATTATATACTGTTCAGGAAAGTATACGCTAGTTTTTGAGACGCTGAGTGGGACCCAAACACCTCTGTTGCAGGTAGTGCCTTGTGAAATGTTTGGTGTTAGTCCATGTGAAGGACATGGTTAGCTAGATGGACATGTGTCTGATCTAAGAGACCTATTATTTTTCTCATTAAAGCAGTGACCCTAAAGCAAAGTGACATCAAAGCAATTCTAATGTACAAAGTAAAAATACATTTCTTTGTAGGGAAGGAGACATTTGTCCGCCTCAACTTTTTATCTAGTAATAAAACTGGAATAAATACAAACACTTTGTAACTGTATGTCTCCACTTCATTCTTCCATGTGCTCCCATCTTCACCTCTTGGGTTTTCGAGATTGCCAGGTCTCTTTTTTTTTTTTTTAAATACCCCCAAGCACTTTGTTAGGGCCACATTTCCACTAACAAATAGAGATTAAACTTCTGGCACAGGCATACAGTGATGTGTAGTCTGACACTAGTATCTAGAACAACTTCTGTTTGAGACTGCCACAACCAGGGGTCAGGTATGATTAACTGAATTTTTCACAATTATACCTCTCTTACAAGTGTCACAACACTGCAGTGCCAAAATACTACTAAACCTTTTGGGCTACTGATCTAGCTATCATATTCATGTAGGCATGAGATAATTTTGGTATCATTTGCTATTATATACATTAAGCATGGCAACAGTGCTGTAGCATGTCATCCACCACTAGTCCCAGTGCTGTGTGGAGATTATGAAGTATTATTTGTCCTATTTACAAACTGGGACATCACTGGTAGCACCAGCCTTTTATATTTAAAATACACTTTCCTTCTCCATTCAGCTGTTTTTTCATATCACACCAATGGATCTTACGTGAGAACATGGCCCCAGGCATGGTGCTTCCAACTCAGAAAATCTCTACAATTTCCTGGTTTTTTTGCTTCGTCATAAGAAAAAAATTATATTTCTGACTCTATAAAATAATTCCTAAAGCTTTTCTACAGCTAGAGTAACATCATAGAAACAGCATCACCACTTTGAGGGCTTGATTCAGTTGCTTAAACACAGGCATCCATTTCCGCTGACTCACCTTAGGGATGTCCATGTGAGATGCGTAAGGAGGGCGCAGAACCTCCTGGACACCCCCACCTCCCTGGAGCAGTAACCAGAGGTTAGACAGGACACTGAAGGCGTCTCAGGTGACACTACATGGGCACAACCATGCCAACCCCAGCAGTCTGACTTGCTATACTGTACATGTGTTTGCCTATGCACAGTCATGTACAGCTGTCAAACACAGTCCAATACTCTTAGGCTACTTTGTCACATCTAGAGGAAGCACCTATCAGCCAGAAAAGTCCTTTTTCCCAAGAGTTGCTCCTCTGTTCCTTGATATTCAGAGAGATGTATCCTGAAATGTGCTACTCAATAGGTGATTTCAGTTTGGGCTCAGTTCATTCTTAACTATTCTTTGAAATTGTCCACAGAGCTGGATGAGGTACATTTTAGAGCGAAACCCTGTTGAAGTCTGAAAGCATTTTGCCACTGACTCCAAAGAAATCAGGATTTAATCCTAGAAAGTGTCTATCAGGACCAAGAAAGGCATGTCTTTCAATTGCCATCACCATTATCTGGAGAGGCAATAGAGGAACAAAGCCAGTCTCAGTGATGAATGCTCCGTCCCTGGGACCACAGTGGAAAAGCCACCGATGTAGCTGCTCTTGGAGAAACGAAAAGGAAACTGGACTGAAAGTCAGATCTGTTTGTTCTCTGAGATTTTTAAGAGCAGCTCCAGAAGTGTTACTTGCATTTTATTTAGTACTTATAGTGCAACGGCAATGAAACCTAACATTACAAGGAGTGTGTGTTCCCACTAGAAAATGTCTTCAACAGCTCATAAAAACCTGGCCATTTATCAGCACTGCAGGAGATCTTTATTACCTCCCTACAGCATGTGCTCTCCAATGATGTATTTATTGATTTAACAAGTAAACTTCGTGGCAAGCTTTTATCTTGGAATTAGCAGCAAGACTGAAATAGAGCTCTTATTATTCTAATAATACAGAGATGTGAGATTCCTGCATATTCCAAAGGTCATATCATCACCTTTACAAGCATCCCATTAGGGCTGTCTGGGCTGCCACATCAAAGTGTGGGCTGTGAGATCTCTAACAATTATGATATCATGCTCACCCCCGGCAATTTCACAACCCTTTTGTTTTTCTTCCTACAGGTTTGGACATCAGGCAAGCTCAGGTTATTGTGCTGTCATCGGGTACCAAATGTATAAATGGGGAATATATTAATGACCAAGGGCTTGCGGTCAACGACTGCCATGCAGAAATTGTGGCAAGAAGGGCATTTGTTCACTTCCTCTACTCACAGCTGGAGCTACACTTAAGGTAACTGAATTCTGTTGGTGCTTGGGGAATGTTATACGGCCTTCAGTGGAACAGATCCATCCTCCAGACATTTGAACTATTTGTTTCTTTATGTTGTTGTTTCTGAGTCTTTGGCTGATGAAGGACCAATACACTGCACAGAAAAAAATGAGAGAGTTAGATAGTATAGAGTGTTGGGTCATGAGCTCCTTTACTTCATCTGATTTTCTTTCAGTAGCTATTAGATATGACTCATAAAGTTGGGTTTTATGAAGCCTGCTGATTTTGTACAAATCTTTACGTGCAGGCTTATTAGCATCATTCACTGGCCAGAGACTGGAAGGGGGTCATTTTGCTCACTGCAGACATTTTCCTGTCTTCCTTGCTGCTGTTGAAATATCTCTAGGAAGTGATTTATTGATCATTAACGCCTTCATTGACTCACTAGAAAACCAATGAGTGCTAACAGTACAGTAAACTTTGTGCCAAAGTGCAAGATGCTATCACTCACTCCTTCTTTATGATGTTTTAAAATGTTATAGCATGTAGAGTCATTACAGAGGAATTATTGTTCCTATCTTCAGCCAAACCCACCTTGTTACCATTTAAATGGTTAATGGGTAATACACTGCCTGGAAGCTGCTAACAAGCAGGGTACCGCAGAGGTCTATCCTGGGACCTTGCTAATCATGACTGTCAACAATCTGGAAAAGGCTATATAGTGCTTGCTTATAAGCTTTGCAGAGGACATCAAATTGTGGGGAGGACCAGTGGATATGCTTGAGAGCTGGGCTGCCATCCAGACAGGCTGGAGGACTGGGCCAGCAGGAACTTTGACAGAAAACTCAACAAGGACAAATGGAAAGTCCCACGCCAAGGAGGAAAGAATGACCTGCAACAACACAGTCTGGAGCCTTCCCAGCTGGGGAGCACCCCTACTGAAAAGGAATAGGGTTTGTAGGCAAACAGCAAGCTGAACGTGAGACAGTAGTGTGCCTGGCAGCAAAGAGGGTCAACAGGATCCCCGGCTGTATGAAGAGTCAGTCAAGGGATGTGATCAACCCCTACTACTCAGCACTCATTAGACCACATCTACAATACCATGTGCAGTGTTGGGTCCCCCAATACAGGAAGGACATCGACCATCTGAAGCAGGTTCAGCA